AGCAAATGACAAGGAAGAAGTTGGGGTCCTGATAAATCTTATCCTGAGTTTCCCCCAAAGACTTAACTCCCTAAACTAGGCTCCATCTCCTAAAGGTCCCATTATCTCCCTCTCAATAGCATGAGACACACTGAGGAGGAAGCCCTTAACGCATGGGCTCTGCAGAGACACTGGAGACAGAAACGACAGTGACACACAGGTAGAAATGTGCTGTTAACTAGGAAGTGCGTCCCAGATGCCAGACATTTAGTACGGCAAACAGTGGGCTCAGGAAGCAGAGGTTCCTGTCTCAAAAGCATAGAGACCTGAATGCGGTGCCTGGAACTCACATAAAGGTGGCAAAGAGAACCCCACAGAGTTGCCTTCTGGGTTCCACATGTGGGTGCACCCACCACACACAGCAACCACACAGCCATAATGATAATGAATGAGGGCCAGCGAGGAGGCCCAGCAAATACAGTGCTTGCTGCATACGGCTGAGGACCTGAGTTCAATCCCCAGGCCCCTCAGTGAGAGGGGAGAACCAGTTCCCAAAAGTTGTCCTTTGACCCCATCACACCTGCTCACTCGCTCTCTCTCGCTCTCTTTTCTCCTTCTCTCCCTCTCTTCCTCTCTCTCACACACAAATTAATTGATTAAAAATAGAAGTCTTAAAGAATTTAAATATGCTACTAATTTTTGAATGGTTGTATGTAGAAATGATAGTATCCTGGATATATTAGAGTTAACAAAACATATTATCCAAATTGATGTCACATGCCTCTTTTTATGTTAAAATTTTATTACATTTCTCTCTAGGGAGAAGGAATCACATTTGTGCCATAGTGTGTGTGTGTAGGTCAGGGAACAACCTGCAGGAATCTGTTCTCTCCCTTTCATCAGGTGGGTCCTAGGTATTGAACTCAGATTGTCAGGCTTGGCAGCAATCACCTCTGGGCCATCTCAGCATCTCTCTTCTGACATTTTTTTGTTGTGACTCTTAGAAAATGTGAGCTCGTGCATGTGGCTCTCAGTGTATTTCAATTGGATGACACAGATATGGACCTCAGTACTACCACCCGTGCTCTGAGTGGGTACTGACATGGGCTTACCCGTGAGCCCTGGAGTGCTGACTCCACCTTACCCTTTGACCCCAGACTCTTGCCCATGGGAGGAAGATTAGACAAGACAGGCCTCAATGACATTCACAAGAGCAGAGTCATGAAGCTGTTTCTCAGGACCAGACAGGTGACCTACCAGGAGAAGGACTGGAAGAGAAACCACAAGCAGCCATCAAGGGTTTTAGTAAAAAGTCAATGCACAAGAGGAAAATATCTCCATAAAACTGGGTCACTGCGTGACATCTCTGTCCAGTCTGTGGACTCAAGGTCCTTGGTGGACCTCTTCCTCTACTGCTTTGCTCCAAGGATGGAAAGGCCCCCACTCAAGTCAGCCCAAAGTTAGGGCAACACATTAAGTCACTAGGGCACACCTTCTCTTGACTTTAGGTGCCAGGAATATATATATTCAGGTGAGAACTGGTCCTTCCTCCAGGCACCACACAGCCAGGACCTGTCCCGGGACATCCAGGCATCCCTTTGCCAGCCCTAGAAATGTATTCTGGCAGCCTGAGATTGAATCACCTTGGTTGTCAGCTTGACTGGCTCTGAAATCAACTCAAAGGCAAGCTGCTGGGCACACCTCTGAGGGGTTGGCTTTGACTTTCTTATTTGAAGTGGGAAAGACCCACCCTACATGTGGGGGGGGGCACCTTCCAATGACAGATAAAAAGAAAGACCAAGAGAAAGACCTTGGCCTTTTGCCTGCTTGCCTTCACTCTGGCTGGCAAGTTTCTCACCCTGTTACTGTGGCGGCTGCCGCTCTTTCCTGGTATCAAAACCCTGATTCCCAGATCCCCTTCTTCAGGTTTCCAATGTGGACAGAAGACTAGGGGTTCCCCAGGAATCCTCTAGACTTCTAGCACATAGGACTGCTAAGGAACCCACCCATATGGACTAAACCACTACCAAGTTCTCTGTCTCTCTGGTGTGAAGACAGCCAAGTTGGACTTTTCAGGTCATATCCTGTAAGCCAATCTAATAAATATCATTTTAAATACTTTAAAATTATACTATACATCCCGTCACTTCTGTTCCTCTAGCGAAACTTAACACATGCCAGAAAGCATTCTCTCCCATGACGGGAATCAGAACTCCCACAGTCTCCCTCTCCTGTAACCCCTGTGGCTTCTGTTTGCTATATAAAATCAATTGTTCCAGAAAGGACTCCAAAGATGCCTCTGATTGGCCTGCTGGGCAGAGAAGAAGCTGCAGGAGATGGAGGGGAGGAAAGTTCCCTTTGCTGGCCAACTCTGAGCCACAGCACCGACTTGGGCAGATCAGCAGCGGAGTGGAGAAAAGGGCAGAGAGGAACAAGACAGGCTTAAGAACAAGGAGGGGCCCAAGCGCCCAGATCTCAAGGCTTGCTCAGGAAAGGGGGAGCGAGCTGCCTGAGGGAACAATCGTTTTCATCCCAGAAGTGCAAACTGCCAAATGCTCATCGGTATGAGTTCACCATCCAAAGTCCCTGGAGGCTGGAGAGATAGATGGCTCAGGGGTTAGGACCACATTCTGCCCTTGTAGAGGACCAGAGTTCAGTTCCCAGCACTGTGGTTAGGTGGCTCACAACCTCCTGTAACTCCAGCTCCAGGGAGCCAATGGCCTCCTCTGCCTCCGCTGACACCTGCACTCACATATACACACACCTACGCGTCACTGGAAACTTAAAATTGTATTAAAAAGTCATACCTATATCCAAATTTATCAGTCTTGGTAAAACATAGTTATGAAGAAAGGCATTTTCATGTTTTACTAATTAATATTGCTCACCATTAAAAAGTACCAATAGTTTACGCAAATAGAGAAGTGAATTGTTAGCGCTTCCAGAGAGATTGTGTGCCTTTGGACAAACTAACAAGACTATTGGTAAGCAAGAGTATTAACAGCTGGACCTGTTGACTGGGTGGAGTGTCCCTTAATCTAGTTTTTACTTCCTGACCCTAAGGGAGATCTTGATCTGTGGGGGAAATCTCTACTCATTCACTCCTGGAATAATTGGGGCTCTTTCAGTAGCCTTGATGCATAGCATTCGTTTGGAGACACTCGCCTGAGGGAGTGACTGGGGATTTGTTTTAAGAAAGAAAGGAACACAAAAAGGTGGGGGGGGGCGTTCCATGACTGGATAGAGAAAAAGCAGTCAAAAAAGACCTGAGCCACAGAATGACAGACTGCCTCTGAAAGGGGGTAACTGCGGGGGAGGAGCCAGAGACGGAGGGTGGGTTCTCAGCTTCATGTGTGGTGAGAGAGACCGGCAGAGGAGGAAGACAGCTGTGAACTCCATGGGAAGGGACAGGAGCTGAAGGACAGTAGGTATGACTGCCTCTGGATCTGGCCTGGACCCCGCGGCCACCCTCCCTCGCACCCATCAGGTGAGCTCATGAAGGCAGCTCGACACCCACTCGTGCTTCCCTCTTTGCATCCACCCTGTTCCCCAAGCCCCACCCAATGCTCTCTCCCAAGGTTCTCTCTGGAGACCTGTCTTTGCTCCAGCCCATCTCAGCGCCCTCCCTTCTCAACTCAAAGCTATGCACAGTTCCACAGCCACCGCATCCCCTAGCCATAGGGAGGCGCTTTCTAGAATGTTGCTCTCAGCTGGTGGTGAGCGCATCTCCATTCGGCAGAACAGACTCCCCAGGGCAAGTTCAAAGAAGCCGTCACTCCCCACGATTCCAGCTTGGTGCTGAGACTTGAGACTCGGTGCTCCTTGAATACTTGTGGACTGAGCCGTCTCCACCTCAGTGTGCCCGCAGGGCCACCTGGCCGTCCACGAGAAAATTAAACCGCATTTTGGAAGCTGGCTGGGCTGTGGTCATCTCCCAGACTCTCGCGCCCCCTACCGGCCAGGAGGGAACCTGCACTCAGGACAAAGTTGGCCAGCCGGATGGAGAGCAGTCCTGATACAGGGCTGTCTGGCCTCACTGGGGGTCCTGTTCGGTCCACGCGCGTCTGCGGCATTGACCCTGAGCTCATACGCATGGCCAGGTCTACTGCAGGACCCCGCGAGGCCCCGCGGGGCGTGCTTAGAGTTTCTCATCCAGCTCTAAGCCACCGTTCTCCCAGGTGCCTCCGTGCATCGTGGCAGGGCTGCCCCGGGGGGTTCTGTTCAGGTAGTTCTGGATGGCCGAGGCGCAGTCCAACCGCTCCATGGAGGTCATGAGGTAGTGAAGCTCCTGCAGGCTGCCATTCTGCTCCTCAAACAGCTCCAGGATGGCCGCGGCGGGGCTGCGCTGGCAGGACAAAAACCTGTCTCCAAGGGACAGGGGCACAGTGAGAGGAAAGCAGGGAAGCTGGGGAGCAGTATGAGACCTACCCTGCACCACACCCCTGCACCACACCCCTGCACCACACCCCTGCACCACACCCCTGCACCACACCCCTGCGCTCTGCTCCCCTTGTGCCTCGGGTTCCTCTCACTAAGCTGAAATCTTGCACAAGACAGCCTCTGAGAATGTCTAACCATTTGACACTGTGACAACGGTGTCCTAGTTAGCTTTGTTGTTAACTGGACAGAAGCTACAGTCATCCGGAAGAGGAAACTTCAGCTGAGAAAATGCCCCTATAGATTGCTTGTAGGCAAGTCTTTGGGGTTGTTTTCTTGATTGGTGAATGATATGAGAGGGTCCAGCTAACTGTGGGTGATGCCATCCCTGGGCAGATCGCCCTGGGTGGTACAATAATGAGGCTTGGGCAAGCCATGAGAGCAAGGCAGTGAGCAGCATTCCTCCATGGCCTCTGCCTCAGTTCCTGCCCTCCTGCCCCCAGTCTCCTGTCTTGAGTTCCTGGCCTGACTTCCCTTCAGGATGGACGATCATGAATAAACAAATAAACCCTTCCCTACCCAAGTTGCTTTTGGCTGTGGTGGGGTTTTGGTTTGGTTTGTTTTGGTTTGTTTTGGTTTTGGTTTTGGTTTTGGTTTGGTTTGGTTTTTTGAGGCAGGGTTTCTCTGTGTAGTGCCTGTCCTGGATCTTGCTCTGTAGCCCAGGCTGGCCTTGAACCCACAGAGATCCGCTTGGCTCTGCCTCCTGAGTGCTGGGATTACAGGCGTGTGCCACCACCACCCGACTTGTCCGTGGGGTTTTACTACAGCAACAGAAAAACAAGCTGAGACAGGTGTTACCTACAAATTTCACACTCGAGAACCATGCAAATTAAAAAACAAAACAGAAAAACCCAAGCTTTAAGTATGCTTATGATTTTGTGTTGTATCACATTCCTAGTTTCTATGATGACCCTCCATTGTTCCGGAACCTTCTAGAGTCTCTTTTACCATCCACAGCTCCTGACTGCCTCGCTCCTCCACCACCTTGTGATGCCCTCTTTCTCTGACCGGTCCTTGCCTCCTCCCGTCCTAAGCCTCCTGTCCCCAGGCCCACGACTACGTCACCTTGCATATCCTGTCCCCTGCACCTCAGCTGCTCCTCACAACTAGAATGACTTCTCCGCGGCCTCCTCTCTGATGTCCTTTCTGACTCTCAGCTCTGCAGCCCTCTGGCCGTACTCAGCTATCCTTGCTTCAACTGTTGCGTCTCTCTTTTCAGTGTTCCGTAATACTGAATGCACACAAGATGGCACATGGAAAGCTTGCTGTTATTCTCAAAGGTCCTTGCTATATTCCATTTGTGCTCCTAGGATGTGAAAACATATTTCACTCTTGTGTCCCAGTGCTTAGTGGCACAAAGACAGGCACTTGACAATTGCCTAAATCAGTTCTGCTTCCAAGGTCCGGCTCTAGCTGATCCCAGACGAGGGCCTCCAAACCTGGACTCTAGGACCTGCGCAGAAGCGTTCTCCTGCCGATCCCTTTGTGGGCTCCTTGGCAGGAGCCCCAGCCACTGTGATTGCTAACACTTACTGTGCTAACAAGCGGCAGGCTTCCAGCTACATGCTGTACACACATCATCCTATAATCTGCTTTTCCGTGCCTTGGGCCACAGTGTGGCGAGCGCTCACTAGTACCAGTGACTCGTATCAGTTCTTGAGAAATGTTTATTGCACACCTACTATGAGACAGACACCATACAATGGATCTCGGGCTGAAAGAATGGGCTTTGAGTCCCGGGAGAGAGCAAAGGATCCTAAATTCTGCTGAGGCACTGGATCCCTTCTCCTCAGCTGTGACACCATCACTACTTCCTTTTCACTTACAAAATTCATATGACAGACACACAGGGGTGTGAACTTGAAGCTGACTTCCAGAGAGAACACACAAAGGCTTCCTCTCTATGCCTACCCAAGGAATGACCTGAACCATGAGCTTGGCCAGGCTCAGACACACAGACGGGCTTGGGGGGAGTGGGGGGGTTACACCACCACCCCAAGCAACCCCTGAGACTTTCTTCAAAAACTGGAATCTTAATGCCTGCCCCCATGTTCTTCAGTCCTCGACTTGAACAGTAATTAGAATAAAACTGTCTCTGGTATAAAGAACTGAGACGCTGGGGACAACCCGGGGACAAGTCACTTTCCCCAGTCCCTGAGAGAGAGCAGGGCCTATAACCAGGTCTAGCCGTCTTCCAGCCTTTGTCTCATGACTAGATTGTAAGTCAGTTACGAGGGACTGGAGTCTTCCTCTCCCCAGTTTTGGGTAAACTGGAAGTAAATCTATTTTCATCAATTCCGTTTTCCAGTTTCTTTGGAAACACAGGGAAGGCAGGTGGCCGTTTGTGGACCTGAGTGTCTGGTGACAGTTACTCTGAGGTTGAGGATGTAGAAGGAGCTGTCCTTCTAAAGGGATTCAGGTGGGGAGTGGCCGTTCGGTAACTCTCAAGTCACCTTGTCTGTGGCCCAGTTCCCGGGATGTCCTGAGGTCCCCCCAGGCCAACCCACCTTCGATTTCCACTACAGCCCTGCTGTTCTTACCGGATTTTCATGCCACAGAGCCCCAGGTGGGAGGCCAGTCTGCGCCAGTCATTCCCAGTGACACTGTTGGGCTCCAGTAACATCTGCAGCTGCTCAAAGAGCTCCGGGGGCAGCCTGAGACAGGGGACACGGTGTAAACCAAAGGAAGGCTCAATCTGTGGCCACACAATCATGAGGGCCTCATAACCAGCACCCACATAAAAGGCCAGTGTGGCAGCATGCATGTGTGACCGTAGCATGGAAGAGAGGGAGACAGGCAGATTCCTGGGACTTGCTGGCCATCTAGAGCTCCAAAGTTCCAATGAGAGACTTAATCTCAAAAACAAGATGATGGCTCCTGAGGAACAGTAGTACCCAAGGTTCACCTCTGGCCTCCATTTGCATGCACACATGTACTTGCACACACCCACAGGAACACACACACATACACGCATGCACACACACGCGCACACACACACAAAGGGACTCAGTCATTCTCCATTCTCTTTCCCTGCTGGGGGAGCTGAGGCAGGATTGCCAAACACCCCCAGACAACAGCCAAGCCACCGTCACCTTACCTATTGCAGGGGGGTGGCTGAGAGACAGGAGGTGGTGCTGCCCAGGACTCCTCCTCCGACGCCTGGAATCTGAGGATCTCCATGTACTTGGTTTCCAAGCCCTGGATCACCAACAGGGACAGGGAACACATGCAGGGGTCATGAGAAACTCCTCCCCCAAGGGGCCCCACTGTATTCCTCGTGACTGTCCTTCTACCTGTCACAGGCCTGTCACCGGAAGACACAGCCCCCACCCCACCCAGGACCAGGGACCCTCTGCCTCCAGACTTCAGAACCCCACAATCAGGCTTAGATTTGCCCCTAAGGATGATAAAAACCACACGGGGTGCATCCTAAGCTGGCGGAAGGCATCAGCACGACACAGGGCACTGCCCACTAACAGAGAAACTGACTTCCAACTGGGCTCCCCAAATGACAGTGTGTGGCGTCTGCCCCCATCCTGCGAGAGGCTACTTTGGTTTTCCAAAGACTCTCAAACCTGACGTGTTTGTCTCTCCCCTGTGGCTGTGGGAGGGAGGGGGGAAGAGAGGGAGCAGGAGGTAGCTAAACCTTTCCACCTGCTCAAGTCCGGCTTCCTAGTCATCCCCACTGAAGATACATGGGGACAGTCACCTTGGAGGAGGCCAGGTCTTCCAGATGCCCTAGCTGTCCTGAGCTGGGAGAAAGAGATAATGTAGATTTGAATCGTTTAACTTTCTGATGCATCCATCCATCCATCCATCCATAAAAGGGGCTCAGGGATGGAGGATAGCTTGGGGCCAGCCAGTCTAAGTCCCTTAAAGATCTGGCGTGGTAGCTCATGGCAAATGCTCTCTTGAGCTGCTTTGTTTTGTAATCAGGTCCCTGGTCCCTGTGAACTGGACCCAGCTCCCTGGCCCAGACAGCTCCCTGGCCCAGACTTTCCTCAGGTCCCGACCTCCCTCCAAGCCTCTGCACAACTCACATCCTGGAAGGTATGCATGGTGACAATGATCTCATTGGTCAATGCTGAGCAGTCTTCATTCTCATTGGCTACAAAGAGAAGAAAATGGGTGAGCCAGGAAAGGACTCGGGGAGGAGCAGAGGGTGGGGCTGTAGAGTGGGGTGGCTGGGAGGGCGATCAGGAAGTGTGCAGGGCTCCGGCCGTACCTGCCTTTCTCCTGAAGCAGAAAGAACGGAAGGGGCACTTTCCATGCCAGATATGAAGGTGGGGAACCAGCTGGCGACTACTGTCATCCACGTTTTCCCAGCCTGGGGAGAGGACGGAAGCGGAAGTCCTTAGCATGCAAGGCCTACTGCAAGTCTTTCAGAGGTTGTGGCGAGTCGTCAGGATGTGGGTCTCAAGCCATGGAGATACAAGAGCTTGAGTGGGCACCTCAAACTGGCCTGGTTTCTATGCTTGTGTTTCTGTAACACACACACACACACACACACACACACACACACACACACAGCCCTTCATCAGCCTCTTTTACTCTACCCCCACCTCTTAAAGCAGCTGTATTCCCCAGAAATGTTCCTGTCCACAACCACACAGAGGATTCCAGAAACACCATCAGCAGCCCCAGCCTTAAGAAGGGCACCGGCAGGCAGACAAACTCAGAACACAGTTCCCAATCTGAGGTTCCTCTCGCTTCCAGCCTCCCACCTCTCATCCTTTCATCCCAGGATGGCTGGCGAGGGCTGAGTGGGAGACAGAGGAACATGAACAAAGCCAGAAGGTTTTCTCAAGGCTGTTGGTCCAAGAACCCAAGAATCAGGTCCAAGAAATAAAGTTGGGGTTTCTGCATTTCCTGGAAGGCCAGAGGGGAGCCCTGAACCCTCCCTCTCACGGAGCTTTCTATCCCCACCCTCCGGGGCCCACCTCACCCTCAGAGATGTACTTGAGCTTCAGGCACTGGTCTGCTCTGGCCCCAGTGAAGTCGAAGAGCTGGCAGGGCCCGCGCATGCGTCCGCCATGGGGCTGCTCATTGGTGATAGCCCACTGCAGGGCGCAGGGGGTGTTGTTCAGGAAATAGACGCGCAGCTGCAGGTGGGTCTGCCCCGGGGCCAGCGGAGAGCAGAACACTGCCAGCTGCAGCCACTTGCGGGCTGTCTGGCCCAGAGGTGCCTCCAGAACACAGGTGTAGAGGCTGTGGAGGGAGATGGAGACAGACACCCGAGCATAAGCTCCAAAAAGGCAGGATCCCGAGGTGCCTACCACCATGTTCCTGTCACCTGCGGGGTCTCTAAGTGGTGAGCGGAGCGCTCCAAACAGGCAAAGGAGGAGGACCCGGTGAGAGACAGAGTGGCCTAAAGGGTCAGGAAGCGAATGGGCCATGATGACCGTGATGTTAACACTGTCAACTAGACAGGATCTGAATCACCATGGACACCAGTCTCTGGGCACATCAGTGAGAGAGTTTCTCAAGTGAGTTATTGAGGTGGGAAGACCCACTCCGACAGACGGCATGGGGTTCTGGACTGAGGGAAAGACAAATGGCAGGGCAACAGCCATCTTTTCCTCTGCTGCTTGACTGAAGAGCGGTATGACCAGCTGCCTCCACCCCCGGCCTCCGTGATTAACCCTTGAAATGTGAGCCCAAGTGAGTCACGGCAGTGAGAGAGTGACTAAGACCGTGACTGCTACCTACTGGAGAGGCGAGCCACCGTGGATTACCTGGCAGCGGAGACTAATCATGGGGTCCCCAAGTTTGAAGGGGGTCCTGCATGTGGTCCTCCTGGGGGTTCATTGGTTGCCAGGAAATTTGGGAGGCGGGGGCCTAAGACCCTAAGATGGAGAAGAGGCATGACGGGAGCCCTTCCTGAGGAGTTCAGGGGCAGGGCTGGAGCAGCACAGGCAGAGGAGGCAGCCAGAAAAGATGGATATGGAGACGGGACACACTCGCTGCAGGCGTGTCCAGCCTTTTGACACTGGGGCACAATGATGTCATCCAGTCACACTCAAGAACCATGCAATTAAGCTTCAAAAAAAAAAAAATCTCAATATGTTTTAAGCAAGTCTACAGCTGTGTGTTGGGCCTTGTCCTTGGCTGTTTGGGCCGTGTGGGGCCTGTGGAATGTGGGTTGCACATGCCTGCTAGACAGAGGGATGAGTTGAACCAGCTGCCTCCAGACAGGCAGAGACATCAACGGGGCAGTCTCAGATGGGGTTCCGATGACAGAAGGGACTGCCGTGGGCATTAGAACAGCAGGCCCAGGGAGGGACACAAAGGTCCCAGCAGACTGTCAAAGGGTCCTAGATGAAGAATGGGCCAGGCAGTTCTGACACAAAGATAAGGAGCTAGAGAGAAAGGACAGTGCCAGAGGGAGTCACGGAGCAGGAGGACAGGCCAAAGGACGAGGCCTACCTGAAGTGAGAGAGCAGGATACGACACTCATCCCGGGAGGTGTACGCCCCCGGCCGATTCAGAGGCCTCCAGTGCTTGGCATCCAGCAAGGAAGTGTTGCTGCTGTAGACACAGGCCTGACTGGGCTGCTGGGCACAGTGCTTGAATGTGAGGGTGCAAGGCTTCAGGAAAGAGGCCCCATGAGGGCCACATGCCACCACAGGACTCACGAGTCCCTGTCTGTGAGATAATGATGGTGCATCTGTCAGGTCCCACACCAGGACCAAGGACACTCTCTCCTGCCGACCCACCGCCACAGCACCTGGAGGGACAATGGGCTGAGATTAGTCTGGCAAGTAGGAATGTTCTGCCCCTTGAAGGATGCCAGGCAGAGTGGGCAGGGAATCTGAGCCCAAAGCCCAGGACTGAGGGTGCCAGCAGAACACGGAGAGGCTGTGTGGAATGAGGAAGTCCACAGTGAGCTGACTTAGGGTTCAGTTCTAAAGCAGTCCCCCATTTCCTTCCAGGGCCACAGCCACTTGTATGGGGACTTGTGTGACTTTACACACAACAGTCTTCCTTCCTTTGTTAGGAAAGTTGTTACAGCAGGCTGTCTTAGAGCAAGGCATTCTACGTCCACCTGCAGAGAAACTGTCCCAAAAGATGTGTGGAGACTCATCTTTGGAGAATCCAACTTTGGAATCTAAAATAAAACTAAACTATAAATACAGTTTTCCAAATTCCAAAGCTATCTGTGGGTGGAGCTCAAATGGGGTACCCTCCCTGGCTGCCTGAAGAACTCTGCCAAGAAGGATGCTGGGAGTGGTTACCTGGTGGGATGAGCAGAGAAATGCCCGTGTCATGGAGCATCAGGCACCCACCACGGTGGTCCACCTCTCGAGCAGAATACACCAGCAGCTTATGCATCAGCTGGCGCGTGATGGTCTGGCCCCGGGTGGGCGTGTGCAGTTCCTGGTAGAATGCAGCCACCTCGGGTAGTGTGGAGGGTGGGCTCTGCCTTGGGAGCTCGTACTCTGGTGACGGAGTGGGTGGGGACACTGTCTCCTCCTGGTCATCTGGCTTCTGGCAGGCCCCTGGCAGCCACCGAGAACAGTGCCGGCGAAGGCACTGAACCAGAAGGAAAGCGCTGGCCACAGGGATCCCCACCAACAGGAGGAATTGGAAAGGGTGGACAGAACTCTCCTGGGGGCTCATCCGCCTGGCCACTCCTGCACCCCTGCACCAGCCAAGGCCAAGGGCCTGAAGGGAAAGTGGGTAGAGACAGAAGGGCTGGGCTAAGTCTTTAATTTGTGGAGGCTGAGGATTCCATCCCCTACAGGGATGCTCCCCCCTTCTCCCCTCCCCCCATGCAGGCACACACACTCACTCACACACACACACACACACACACACACACACATGCAAACAGAAGAACCCTCCTGAGCTAGGCATGGTGGTACACATCTATAAGTCCAGCCCTTGGGAGGCAGGAAGATTTGAAGTTCAAGGCCAACCTGAGTTACAAACTGAGACACTGTCTCAAAAATAAACAGCTTCCCACAGTTCTCCACAACCTAGTTACAGCTAAGTAAATACAAGTGCATAAAGAACTCGTATTCTGAGGGAGAGGACATGAGTTCGAAGCCATGTCGATCACTGCACGCATTAGGCTTGTCATATGCTTGATTTACCTCAGCGTCCTCATCCGTCCAAATATCTACTTTTGAGTCAGTAGAGATACACACCTGTGATCCT